TCCTTCTTCTTCCTCTCTTCTCTGCCTGCACTGCTCCCTCAAGTAGCCTTCCTTTCCTCTCTCTTCTTGTGAGAGTTGGGCATATCCTATTCTGTCAAATCTTTCTCTGATTCATCATTTTGTCTGCTACTCAATTAGATACCACTTTCAAACATGGGTACTTTCTTCTACAAATTAACTTTACCGTCATTGTCAGGGATTAAAAGTGTGGGCTAAGGCTGAGCCACACCATAATTAGAAACAGTTTTTTTAAATAAATAACACAATCTCAGGGTTTACAGTGTGATAAAATGTCCTGCAGCATTACTCCTTCTACCTGCCGTGTTCTACCATTTGGCTTGGATGCTCTTTCCCCTAAACTTTGACATAAGTGACATGATAAGCCTGGTAGACCCCAACCTCTTAAAGTTTGAGTTGTGACATCATTGTCTACAACAGTAAAAGGTTTCTGGGCACACCACTACTGAAAGGCAAGTTAAAATCAAATGTTGAACTAATCTGAGATGTTTCTGTGTTATATGACTTCCCTGCCTTCTCAATTCTGAACTCACAAGATTTCTCAGGGATTCCTGCACTGCACATGATGTGTGTGAATGCTTCCTGAAATACCTTAGCTCAGGTCCAAGAATGCTAGACGTTATGACTTGTGTGTTTTTACTCTATGAACAATATTTTGTGTTTTTTTTACAGGGGAATGATGATTTCATTATAAAAAAAACCCAAAAGCTTTTAATATTTTTCTGTCATTATTCCTTAGCAAGTAAGTATCAAATTAGTATTGATATCAAGATTATATTGTATTAGAATGTTGATTTAAAGAATTGCTGTTTAGAGTTCTGCAAGATGGCTCAGTGGATGAAAGTCTGATGATCTAAATTCAATCCCTGGTACCTATACAGTAGGATAGAACCAGCTCCCACTAGTTGTCCTATGACCACACACACACACACACACACACACACACACACACTTACACTCACACTAATAAGCAAATACATGTAATTTTAAAAGCAGCTGTTTGGGTTATGACCTGAGTTTCATTTTTAAAAAGCCATTGAATGGGGACTGGAGATATGCATGGAATCCCAGGTTCAATCCCAACACGATGTAAATTGGACTTGGTGGAGCACTCCCATCATCCTAGCACTCTGGAGGTGGGAGATTAGGTGCTCAAAGTCTTTATTGGCTAGTTTGACCCCATCTCAAAAAAAAAAAAGTCATTAAAGGAATTTTGACTTAGAATTAGGACAGAATTTCCAGCAAATTTTGAAATGGTCCTAAACACACTTGTGCCATTTAGAAAATATATTTGTGTGTGTGCACCATGGCATTCCTGCGAAGAACAGAGGATTTTAAGAGCTTGTCTTCTATTTGAGACAGGTTATCGTTTTTTTTTTTTTGTTTTGTTTTTTTTTTTGGTTTTTTGGTTTTTTGGTTTTTCCAGACAGGTTTTTCTCTGTGTAGCCCCGGCTGTCCTGGAACTCACTCTGTAGACCAGGCTGGCCTCGAACTCAGAAATCTGCCTGCCTCTGCCTCCCAAGTGCTGGGATTAAGAGACTAGGTATCTTGATGTTTTTCCTTTGCTGTGTACCCCACGCTAGCTCACTCTCTCACTTCTAAAAATTCTCCTGTCTCTACTTCCTCCCTATAGGAGCAGTAGGATATTACAGGCATGAACAACCATGTATGGATTTCTATAGGTTCTGCAGATACAGAATCAGGTTCTCAGCCAGGCAAGTGGCTGCATGCCTGTAGTCCCAGCACTCTGGAGGCAGAGGCAGGTGAGTTTGAGGCCAGTCTGGTCTACCAATCAAGTTTCAGGACAGCCAGGGCTGTTACACAGAGAAACCCTGTCTCAAAAAACAAAAAATAAAAAGTAAAACAAAACAGAATCCGGTCCTCACAGTTGTGCAGCAAATACTTCACCCACTGAGCCGTCCTCCCTTCCCTTTTGTACTAGATTTATGAGAAGCAGATTTCTCAGCAAAAATGATTATAAAATTAAAATACAAAACAACTTTAAAATAAACATAGAAGATGATATATGCCCTGCAGTAGTAGTCAGCTGACATTTAATTTTATGTAAAGTATATAAAATTGCTTTTGTCTCTAACAGATGGTAAAATTACATGTATGCCAAAGATTCGCTTTTTTTTTCTTTTTTTTTTGGTTTTTCGAGACAAGGTTTCTCTGTGTAGCCCTGGCTGTCCTGGAACTCACTCTGTAGACCAGGCCGGCCTCGAACTCAGAAATCTGCCTGCCTCTGCCTCCCAAGTGCTGGGATTAAAGGCATGTGCCACCACCGCCCGGCTAAGAGTGGCTTAAAAATGAATTTCACTATTATCATCAGTAAATGTTTGGCTTGCATATCTATTTTATGTGGCTTTATACCTAGGGTCATTTAAAAAGTTCTCAGCCAAAAATGGGTCTAAAGTGAAACATTTTTAAGAAGACCCGTGCTACATGAAGCTCATGAAGAAGGAAGACCAAGTGTGGGTGCTTCGGTCCTTCTTAGAAGGAGTAACAAAATACTCATGGGAGCAAATATGGAGACAAAGCATGGGACAGAAACGGAAGGAGAGGCCGTCCAGAGACTGCTCCACCTGGGTATCCATCCCATGTGCAGTCACCAAAGGTAGATGCTGATGTGGATGCCAGGAAGTGCATGCTGACAGGAGCCTGATATATCTATTTTCTTAGAGGTCTGCCGGAGTTTGACATATACAGAGGCGGATGCTCACAGCTAACCATTGAACTGATCATGGGGTTCCCAATGGAGGAGTTAGAGAGAGGACTGAATGAGCTGAAAGGGTTTGCAGCCCCATGGGGAGAGCAACAATACCAACCAACCAGAGCTCCCAGTGTCTAAACCACCAGCCTGGGAGCACATAGGGAGGGACCCATGGCTCCAGCTGTATATGTAGGGGAGGAGGGCCTTGGTCCAGTGAAGGCTGGATACCCCAGTGTGGGGGAATTTGAGAGTGGGGAGGAGAGAGAGAGAGAGAGAGAGAGAGAGAGAGAGAAAGAGAGAGAGAGAGAGAGCTAACACTGAGAATTTCAGAGACAAGGTTGACCACTTGACTAGAGAAGGAAGAGTAAACTTTGGAATGATTGGCTGCCTCTGTTTCCATTACAGTCAACTGGCTGGGGATCAGAAGGTAGGTGAGTAGCCTGTTAATCAGTTTTCTCCTCAGATCACAGAGTTTCTAAATAATGTTACTGAAGCTTAATGACTCAATTCCTGCCCTCTACTCATTGATGCTTGTTGTGAAGGGTAACAGGAACTCTGCATTTTGGTGACAGTATCACAAAATTTATTTTCACCTTTGATATTCAAGCTTCAGCATGGTCTGCAAAACGGAAACATTCATTCTGTGATTCTTGACAAGAAAAACTTGTAGATTAATCATAGATGAAAATAGACGGGGGCTGGGAGATGGCTCAGTGGTTAAGAGCATTTGTAGCTCATGAGACAATGCTCCCAGCACACATGTCAGGAGGCCTCCAGCTCAAGGGATCAGATATATTCTGACCTCTGAGGGTACACAAACATATGCGGCACAAGCTTGTGGGGGCGTTAGTATATTTTAAAAACAAAGGTCACATAGTGAACCCCCCATGATGGCATTAGTAGTAGCTTTAAGTATATGTCAGAGGATAATTTTTATGAGTAGGTTCTTGCCTTCTACTTAGTGAGCTAGGGTCTCTTTTTGTGTGAACAGGTTAGTTACTACATGCTAGCCCTCCCGTCTCCATCTCCCATTTCAGGAGGTCTGGCTTGCACAGCAAATTATCTCCCTTCGTTTCCTTTCTTCATCTTTCCTTTTGTGGCAAGGTCTCATGTGGCACAGGCTGATCCCAGACTTGCTAGGTAGCCGATGTCAGCTTTGAACTCCTGATCTCTCTGTCACCATCTCCTGTTAGATCACAGACCTATTTCTTTAAGGCGGCTTTGATTACCTCTGAAGCTTAGTGATAACATATAGGAGTTCATTTTACTACTTTGTTTCTTTGTGTGTGAGCTTGCTAGGAATCAGACACAGGGCATCTCGGATGCTCAGCTGCTCTAACACTGAATTTTTTATGTTTAAAAAATTTCACAATAGTTTCTTAAGTGTTTAAGATTTAAAAGATGGTTAATCTTACGCTTTCCTCCTCCCTTTTTTTTTTTGGAATTGTTGTTTTTTTTAATTAATTTATTTATTATATGTAAATACACTGTAGCTATCTTCAGACACCCCACAAGAAGGTATCAGATATCATTACAGATGGTTGTGAGCCACCATGTGGTTGCTGGGATTTGAACTCATGACCTCTGGAAGAGCAGAGCCATCTCACCAGCCCCATTCTCCTCCCTTAAAACAACAACAAATTTAAGAAAGTTGGGTGCAGCTAATAAGACTGCCTTTTGCTTATTTTTCTGAAAGACGGAACTCATCCAAGATTTTGGTAGAGCAAGCTCCTTGGAACAGACACAGAATGGCAGTGACAATACAAAGGCACCAACACAAGTACAGGGAAAGATTTTTTTTTCTTTTTTTGCTTTTGAGCGCTGTCCCAGGACCAATCCCATTTCTACAAGGAAATCAAATCGAAATCCTCTGTAGAAGCCACTATAGAGTCGCCAGCCTTCAGCTGATTCGCAGAGGCGACGTCTGGCGACGCCAGAGCAGGCGAGCAGAGGCGGGGCGCGACGTCAGCACGTCGGTCCTCACGTCCAGCTGGGAGAATACAGACCTGAGTGCCCAGGCTGGCTCTGACCGCTTTCAAAGCCGGGAGCCGAGGCCACTGCGGCTGCGCAGGCATGCCGGGGGCGGGGCTTCGGGCCTGAGCGGCCCTTGAGGAGCGGCTGCTGGAGGGCCGGGTAAATCCCGAGAGGCCGGAATGATTAGCCGAGGGGCTGCTCCGCCCCTGGCTCCTCCCGCCTCGCGTCGGCGCTGCCCCGCCTCCGCCTCCCGCCCGCTCGGCTTCGGGGTGACACGGGGCTTCGCCGCGGGCAGGGCGGAGGGCAGCAAGTTAGCCCGCGGCGGGGTGGCGGCGGCCGGCCTGTGAGCGCGGTGAGGGAACGCCGAGGTCGGGCGGAGGCTGCCGCCGGGCAGGAGGGCCCGGGCGAGTGAGGCGCAGGGCTGCAGCCTGAGGGGCGGCGGCGGCGGGCGAGGGGGCGCGGCCGGCCCGGGCGGCTCTGGCCGCGGCCGGTTGGCGTGGGTCCCGGGTCTGGGTCCCAGAGCGCTCGGGTCCGCGCTTCTGAAGTTGATTGGCACGCCCGACGTTTGTCTCTCTTGTTCTTAACGGGAACGCGGGGAGGAAATGGAAAGGTCCCCGGACTGCTGCGAGGCGGGGGCTGGGGGGCTCCCCCGGGAGGTGGTCCTTGCCGCCGTGGGCGAGCCCCTTTCTTCTTGGGTGGAGAGGTGGAGGCCAGGTAGGCAGGGTGACTTTCAGTGTTTGGATGGTTAAAACAAACAAACCAGGAATTCCTCGGGCCCTCCCCCCACGCCCTGCCCTGCGACGCAGCAAACATTCCCAGCAACTTTTAAGAAGCAGGCGAGAAATCTCAGACATTTGTTGTGTTTGATCTGTGCTCCTGGTTAAGGGAAAACGTGAGAAGGGAGTCGTGTTCCTTCCCATCTATCACAGTTTTGGTTGTGAATCTCCCTGGAAGATTTTAGTATTTTATGTTGATCGTTAGTCGTGTGTCAAATAGGAGTTTCTGGAATATCTAATCACATTAAAAATTTATCCCTTTGAACGGGATAAGCAAGGCAGACATAACTGGATTTTTTTTTTTCAAATATGGCTTAAAAAAACTTTGGATATTTTTGTATTTCACAGACCTATTTACGAGGCCAGTTACCACTCATGAAGAAGTGTTGGACTAGTTGGACTTATTGGCCTGAGACAGTCTATTTGTTCTACGTATTTTTTATTTATCCCACCGCTTTGAGCTTTACTGTAACGGCTGAGAAACTTGGAAAATAAAATAACATGATGTGGTCTTGAACCTTCTTTTTGAGGAAATAATAAAGTGCCAGAGTGAAAAGCCAGAATGGCAGCCAGAGAGAGGCTGTTTGAACTTTGGATGCTTTATTGTACAAAGGTAATTTGCTTTCCTTTTTATTTCTGTACTTAAAATTACTTGATTATAAAATTTTGTGTCCAGCGTTATGAACTTAATGTGTAGTGTGTTTGTTCATATTGATAATCCTGAATTGACAGGTGTGGTGGTGCATACCTCTAGTCCCAGAACAGAGTCCTAGAACTCAAGAGGTAGGAACAGGTGGAGTTATGTGAGTTCGAGTTGGTTCTAGTCAACATAAGAGATTTCCAAGACAGCTGGGGCTGCATAGAGAGACCCTATCTCAATACAAAACCCCAAACAACTCCCCCTATCCTGAATTAAAAAAAAAATCAAGAGAAGTAAATAAATTAATATAAAAAAACACTTAAGAGATCTTGTATTTGCCATATTTTTTTCAGATTTGAGTACATTGACAATATTGGCCTACTGTTAAAAACTTACAATGTTTTCTTTGATATATCTTCAATGATCTCAAAATTTTACGGTAGATTGTACCTTTAAAAGAAAAATAAAACTCCTATTGTGTGTGGGCTATGTGGGGCCCACATGGGGGCCTTGGTACTTTTATAGAGGACCATGCTGTGGGTGTGGTTGTCCACATTTATATACGTTCCTAGGATTGGTCTAGGTCAGTAGGATTGTGTGCCAGGTGCTTTACCAATTGAGCCATCTCACCTGCTCCAAATATTTTATTTTTACGCTATGTTTTTCTTCCCTCAATTAGGGTTAAAGATAGTTTTGTTTGGACATTAAACTTTTTTTTTTCATCAACCTCTTAAATTATTTTTGAAGGTTATTGATTGAGGTGGGTATTATGGGATTAACATGTTAGCGCACATTAGCATTATCTCATTTGATGCTAGCTAGAGTCTGGTGAGGTGGGTATTGTAATTATCCTTTTATTTGTGAGAACTGGTGTAGGTGTGAGTTTGGAATTCAGAAGTATCTGATTCAGGTCCCATCTATTTAACCATTTTGCCATTTAGAAATAAATTTCTTTGACTTCCTTCATGTGAATTTTTGCTTTGTAAGTTTGATTTTAGGCCATTGAGAAGGGTGTTCCTTGCCGGGCAGTGGTGGCGCACGCCTTTAATCCCAGCACTTGGGAGGCAGAGGCAGGCGGATTTCTGAGTTTGAGGCCAGCCTGGTCTACAGAGTGAGTTCCAGGACAGCCAGGGCTACACAGAGAAAACCTGTCTCGAAAAACCAAAAAAAAAAAGAGGTGGGTGTTCCTTAAAGGGTGTTTCTCAAGTGAGGCTCTATGTTAGCACTTTGAAGACATGGCAATGGTCAGAGAACCATTCATTCCCAGTCAACTGGTTAATTTAGGTCTGTGTGGTTATGTTCTCAGATCACAGCCTGTATGTAGTTCTGCATTATATATTCAGGTTTGTTTTTAAAATATAATTTCAGTTAATTAAACAGCAATTTATCCTGTAAGAAGTTATCTAATTTTCACTGTAATTTTTCTTAACTTCCTGGTTCTGCACATATATATACAATACAAATGTTCACACACATACCTTGAAAAGTCAATATAAAATTTTAAAATAGCTTTTAGGCTTATATAATTGACAGAAATATCTTTTTAAAAATAAACAACCCTTCTAATAAAAAAGGAATCTATCTCATCTAGACACTGTTGAAAATAGTCACTAATAAGTTAGTCAAAAGTTAAAATGAAATTTTAGTATGAATATCCAATAATTTGAAAGTGACTTGTTAAAAAATATATTAGACTTACTAATTTTCACCATTTTCAAAATGAGAAGTAAATGAGATCACACTGTTTTACTAATTATGTATTTTTTAAAGGTAGATTAAATGATAGTATATATTTGAAAAGGTAGTATATTGTTGATACACACTCATTTTAAAATTTATCTTACTGAATATAAACATGAATTATTTTGTCATGATTTTTTTTTCCCTCCTTCCCTCCCTCCCTCTTTCTTTTTGTGGTGCTAGGGATAGAATTCAGGGCCTTGAGTATGACAGGCAATTGCTATGTCCCCAAGCTACGTACAACCCCTACTGTCAAATTTTGAAGCCTCCTATCTTGGACAGAAAGATAAATCTAATTTTTGTGATTACAATTAAGCCATGTTTGCTCTTAAGATTTAATTTTGTGTTGTTTCAGAAAGTAGTTGTTTAAAATGTGATTTTTTTTCAAAAAACACTGTCAGTTCATGGATAATACACTTGTTAGTAACTTGTACACTTGGATCAGGTAGCTACCAAGTGCACAGTCACAGCTGAAGCTCATTTGCTGCTGAGGATGCTAACACATTACTGATGTCTGCACTTTCTAGCCACTGTGCTTCTGCTCCTTCTCTAGCAGTTCGTCCCTCAAAACATGACCTCCCCACCAGCACTGGTCACATTTTAAGGCCTTTTTGCTTTATGTTCTATACTTTTGACAAGTTTTCATACAATTTGAAGACTTGTTGGATCTTATAAAAATGTCTTCTACAGCTGAGTGCTGAGAGATTCTTAGACTGGTGACTTGTAATTGTGAGGCCAGTTTTGGCTCTCCTATTTTCTTTTGTGACCCTGAGCAAGACTTATCTTTTTGTGTCTGATTTTCATTTGCTAAGTAATATTGTATGTTTAGGGAGGATGTTTGTTGAACTCACCAAGTGTTGTTTAGATTTTTTTTTGTTTTTTTTTGATTGTTTTATTTTTAGAGACATAGTTTCTCTGTATAGACCAGGCTGACTTTGAACTCTAGAAGAGGGCCTTGGATCCTCTGGAACTGGAATTATAAACAGTTGTGTGCTGGGAATTGAACCTGGGTTCTCTGGAAGAGCAACTGATGCTCTTAGTGCTCTTAATCACTGAGCTGTCTCTTTAGCTTCTTTTTTTGGTTTTGACCTTTGAGAGACAAGTAGCTTTGTTTTACTTTTCATAATGTGAATTATTATATAAACTCTTTTAGTTCTCTTCCTTAAAACTTTTTTATAGAAATTTTCAATATGCATGAAGTTGATAAGACATAGTAAGCCTTTTATTTGTTACTCAGTTCAGCAATGATCAGTGTATACCCTAGTGCTTCTATAGCCTTCCATGTTCCCTATATCTTTAAAATATACTTTATATATGTATATCTGATATCTGTAAAATGTCTTAAAAACTATCACAACAGGTGCTGGAGAGATAGCTCAGTGGTTGAGAGCACTGACTGTTCTTCCAAAGAACCGAGGATCAAATCCTACCGTCCATGTGGCAGCTCACAACTGTCTGTAACTCCAAGATCTGACACCTTCACACAGACATGCATGCAGACAGAACACCAACGCACATAAAATGGAAGTGAATTATTTTAAAAAAAAAAAAGAAAAATATCACAATAGAATAATTCTTTAAATTCTAAAAAATATATTTATATTCATACATCTTTGCTAATTTCATAAGATTGTATTTTCTCATGGAATAATTACATATTTAAACAAATGATATGTACTATATTTTATTGAAAGAATATGTGACACCTTATAGATTCCCCTTTACCATACTCTTCTTAGCTGTTTACTTGTAGTAGAAAGCAGTTTTGACCCTAGAGTTTTCTACAATCTGGATTTGCTACTGGATCTCCCAAAGCTTTTAAAAATTGCTTCTCTTTGGGTTTGGGTGCCTGTGACCTGGCAAGTATAAAACCTTGACTCAGGTTCTGGTTTGGTTATGGAAGGCTATAATAATTCATACATGTAGCGGTTACCTGTTTTACGAGGATTTCTTGTTACTGTAATGTTCTAGCACTTTTTGTTAGAGAAATGGCCTTTCATCATTTATTGATGATAGTTCCTTAAAAGAAAGTCATGTTGCATAAATGTTTGATTCTTTTTGTCAATTTTCAGAACAATGACTTGATTAGCAAAATGACCAGTTTTTCTGGAGTACCAAGTTTTAATTTTTCATGATTAAAATTTAAAGTACTTACCATTTTGCTGTCCTACTTGATTTTTTTGAGTACACAAAACATTGAATACATACTTGGTTACAGAAGAATTCTTTGAAGATTATGAAGGTCTGTTTTTATGTCAGTGAAGTTAAGACATCTTTCATATTTGCCACAGTGCTAAACTGACTTTGGGACATGTATTTTAGTGTGTTGTTAGTAGGTCATTCTTGTAATGTTTTGACGTTGCCACTGAGTAGTTGGAAAATTTAGTAAATATACCCTTGATTTATACTTCTTTGTAGAAGAAATGCTGTGGACAATAATATGAATAAGTAGAAGTACTTATTCACCTGAGTTCAGTTGCAAGACTAATATTAGAGATGAAAGTCTTCTGAGTAGAAGTTTCTATTTTAGCAGATGGAGCCTCACATATTAAATTGAACATTTGATAAAATACTTGGTAATTTTTTTTCTTCTTAGTAGTTTTTTTCTTAAATTAACAAGTAATTATGGAGTGTGCTCTAATTTTTAATACATGTATGCACAGAATAATCAAGGCAGGCTTATATCCATCTGTCTGTCTGTCTGTCTGTCTATATCTATCTCCTCTCACATAATTACTTTCTGGTGTGCAGTTTGTTTCGTTATCAAATATTTCAGGCCTATCTTTTTTTTTATCTTGTCCTTATGGGATTAGGGTTTAATTACATTGTTAGAAATATGACTGTCCATAACAGACTATTTGTTAATTTTATATAGTAGTTATCATATAGGAAAGATGGAAAGGAGGAACACTATCCTGTTCTCTGAAGATTGTTACAGTAGTTGGTATGACCACTGATTCAAGTTACATGTATTCTGAACTTTCCTGCTTTCAAATAGTTATCCCCACCCAGGGTCAAGGATTTGATCGACAGTGCATTACATTTTGTATTGCTCTTAAAAGTTAAACATTAAATTTGGACAGCTCTAATCTAAGTATCTGATTTTAGTTCATTACTTAGCAACTGCTTCTCTGGATATATTTAAGAGTAGACAGTCAAATGACAACTGTTTAGTGTCTTCTGACATTTCTTTGCTTAATCTTAAGACAGAAACAGAAGAGGTAAGTTTTATATAAGCAGTTTAAGTATTAAGCATCTTTTGGGAATTTGTATATTTGTACCTTCTCTCTTTCCAACTACTGCCCTTTCCTAGGATCT